ATTTGCGTAATTAGAAAAGCAGCGCACTAAGTAAATGACGTTGATATAGTCAAAGCCAGTACAGAGTTGCATACAAGTTAATTACAGTACCATCGGATATAATAACAGTTTTACTAGGTCGACACGCGGACCACAAAAGAAAAAGGTTGCTAAGGTAACGCGCTGAACTGGCTTGTGGTTCACGTGGTGGTGGTTCACGTAAAATGCAACCTCTCACCATTGTATTAAAACACTTTGAATTTATACTTTGCATGATTATATTTAGCAGATCGCCCGGGCGATCTTTTGGTCCACATTTTTCTAAAAAAAAATCGAATCCTCCATAAGATCACCCAGGGCGTGGTATCAGCCGTATCCGGTATATATATTACAGTTTCTGACTACATTAAACTCTGCAAACACATTTACCATTGCTAAAGTTACACTCTCAGATCATTCTTGAAGTTTTAGTGGGGTACGTCTTAGGCCACTTATGTGAAATCTAGCAAATCTAGTTCATATTTAGACCATTACATATTTTTTCAAATTCTAAGACCCTGAGAAAGCCTTAAGAATAATCTGAGGGTACCATGTTTCTTAACATTCAGATACATGTGCTGGTAGTAGACATTATTTTTCTACCAATTTCTTCAGTCAGTTCTATGGATTTTAGTGAAAATAAATTTTCAAATTTTTCTATCTTTTTTTCCAAATATTTAATGTTTTCAAAAAAAAAAATATTAAATGTATTTTCTGTTTTTTAAATAGGCTGTACGGAATTCAATGACAGATGCTATGCAGGTTGTGGAAAAAAAGCTAATTGCTAGAACAGAGATAAGAAAAAAGAAGGTGAGTGGTCAAAGGTTTTAACTTTAATAATTGATGTAAATGTAATAATATGCTGGTATGTTAACCATAACCCAGTCCATATTTTGTGATTTTATGTTTATTATTTTGTGTAAATAAATATATTTCAGGCCACTTTGCAAAGATTGCAAAATATTATCCAGAGTGTGGATAAAATGGAAAAAATCCTGCAGATCCAGAAACCCGGTGAAGGAATGGAACATGTGTCTCATAGGTAAGTAATATTAGCCAATTATATGCCTCATATGTAAGGAATAACATGTTTTCCTGTAGAGTATGTATTCCATAGGCAAGGAATAAAGTACCTTTCCCATAGATATATGTAGATAAAGCATAGAGTACAATGTATATATTTCGTGGGCATAGTGTTTACTTGACTATGTGAAATGTACATCCCATACTGGGAGTGAATAAGGGCGTGTACATCCGCAAATCGTCATAGTACCAGTGTATGTTTGGGTGTAAACAAAAATATGTGTAATATGCAGTGGATATCCTACTAGTTGCTCTCATATCTTGTGTTAATAATTTTATTTGTTCAAACACAGTTGATTTTTCTGTGCCTAACATTTTTTGCTGGTATATTTTTTTCAATTTTTTTTTTTATTATTTCTGAAGTTAATATTTAATGTTAATGTACATATTACTGGTTTGACAATGCAGGTGGAATGTTGCTGGTAGAATGTTTTGACTTCTAGGTCACGGTATGCAGTGAAATAAACTTTTCTTAAATAATTATATTTTATATTGGGTATCCTGTACATTAATCTTTGTCCTGCCAAGCCTCTGTACTTTTACATTGACTTGACTAAATAAGGAATAACCATACACACTTTGCATATGTGCCTCTGCTTCATGTATACATACTAATCCCTAGTTGGCACATTTGTTTTGTTTTTACAGTGAGTTGACTGGTCAACTGATTGAACGAGTGGCGTCTGAATTCAATCAATTACAGTTTTATGTAACACAGAGTAAAGGCTTACCTTTGGTGGAAAATATAAGACCTGTAAGTCTAAGATTACTGATTCTAGGTTATTGTTGATGCCTCAGACTCCTGAATGGGCATTGATTCTAGGCAGAGTGTGGATGTCTAAAACCACCAAATGTGCAGAGATTCTAGGCATATTGTTGAGGTCTAAAACCACCAAACGTACATAGCTTCTAGGCATATTGTAGAGGCCACAGACTCCAAAATACACATAGAATTTTGGCATATTGTAGAGTTCTAAGGCCACAGTAAGTGAATAATTCTAGGTGTATTATAGAGGACCTAGATCATGGAATATGTATACATTCTAGGCATATAAGAAAGTTCTCAGATCATGTGTTTGTCATAAAGGTAGAGGTCCAAATGATCTTAGCTTCTAGGCTGTCATAGATTCTTGGCTACTGTAGAGGTCTCAGAGCCGAGAAAGTGAATAATTTTTAGCTGTTGAAGATTCAATGTTTGTGTACATGTATAATGTGTCATCATTATATTTTGAGATTGGGAAATGTGACATTGTCCAAACAGGGAGTCAACAGAATTTGACATAATTTTGTAATGGAACATAGTAGAATCATATAATATGCAAATTAGTTCATTATAATGCATACTAATCAGCTTTTGAGAAGATGGAGTGATTGGTCAACATCCCTGTTTATCCTAGTTTCTTCTCTCTAGAGGATTGCGGTCATAACAACTACATTGCAGATGAGCTTGGAGAATTCGTTTGAAGATAGTTTGGAGACTGGTAATCTTCCTGTATTGAGGCAATGCTTACGTACATATGCTATCATTGATAAAACTAAAGATGCAGAAATGCTGTTTCGAACTTTGGTTGTTCGGCCATTTATGGAGGAGGTAAGTTACCTTTACACATCAACACATATTCATTTTCATGATATTTGAATATTTGAATATTCTGGTATTTTTGGTGTTATAAATCTACTCATAGTGGGTGAAATTTATATTTTTTATTGTGAATAATCGCAATCAGTTTTTCATATGTCATGTCCATTGTGGTTTTTTGATAGGTGATATCAGAGCAGTACATCCTAAATAATCCACAGGGTCTACAAGGCATGTACAATAAAATAGTAGAATTTATACCCAAACACTGTCAGCATATCAGAGCTGTTACTTCACCAATCCATAGGTAAGTTACCAACACTTTGAGACTTTTTTCTTGCTAAAACACAATTGTGAGTTATATTTTTGAATTCTACTTCTGTTTTTGTTTTTTATAATTTCCAAATATTTAGATGTTTTCAAGAGATGTTTTCAAGAGATGTTTTCTGGGATATGTTGTACTATGTGAATAAAGTGAATAAGTTTTTTGTTCCAGATTTAATTTCTTGGAAACACAACTCTCCCAAAAATCTTGCCATTTTTGTGTCAATTCTAGAAAAAAAAGTATAAAGTCCCTTGTTTAGGGACTGTGTGCTGATGTAGAGTAATTATCTGTTTTAAAAACTACTATTTGAATTACTTCCATATTTAGTGTGTGTGTGCCTTGGAGTGATGTCATTCCAATTTTTTTGTTTCAAGTTTATTTCCAATAATTATATTATTGACCAACATAAATTAAAATCAATTCAAAAAATTCTCTTGCATTCTCAAAAAAATATATAGTTGTTAACATAACACCCACCCTCACCTTTCTTTCTGTTACCCTTAAATGTTTTTTTTTTCCCCTACCTGTGCTATGTCTATCATTTGATTGTTGTGCCACGTCATTTGATACATCAACTTCTGCCACACCCACTTCCACATCCTCCATTAAATTGTTATTCGATTCCTCGTCTCCCCATTCTATTCGCATTGGTTCTGTGTTTGTCCAATATTGTTGGGTGTCATTGTCTTCTTTGAACACTTCTTGAAGCCACTGTTGAAATTCACTATTATTCATCATCTTCATAAGCTGCCTGTCTTTGTTATTAAATTGTTGTTATTTTACTTTAGTTGCATTTTAAATACATGTAGATATAGTATGTAAAATTACATGGATGATTTCACTCAGTTTGGTGGTTGCCTACTGGGCAGTAATGAATACTAATGTTGGCTCATTAAATCTTAGAATTACAGGGAGTAGGTGACAGCAACAGATGTAAAACAGTTGGCTACATTGTCTACTTATAACAGTTCATTCAAATTTTTAACTGAAATGAATAAACAATAACAGATGTCCATATTTATCTTTTATTTGGTTCCAACTATTATTATAATGGCATCATTTTACTGATGGGGTGTCCATGGTGACAGCACTTTATGACACATTTAGTAACTGAATATTTTTTGTTTTAAAATGGTTTTAGGAAAATATGCAACTGTAACTGCATAAAAAATAGTTTTTCTT